GGACCTCTCTCTCTTGCCAACTGGCACAATTTCAAGCTCCGTCCTAAGGGACATTAGAGGAACACTGGAAGAGGAAGGGGCTCTTCTTCCTGGTTCCGGTGGGCTCCTACCAGCAGCTCCCAGCGTGTGTGGCAATCAGCAGGAAGATTCCCCTTGCACCTCAAAGGTGCCATACCACCCCTGTTGGCAGTTTCTCGGTGAGTTGCGCGGTGCAGCTCCTCCCAATGGACAGCTTTCTATAGCGCCTGGACAGCAGCTTCCCAGTGAGTTTGGCCAACTCAGCACCAAACTCCCTCATCACCCAGTGGCAAGCCACAGCCACAGCCCCTCGATGCAGTCTGGATCTCAGCGGGGGTGGGGGGGGCGCGGAGCAGTGGGGTTGGGGGGTGTGGAGTGGAGCTTTTTCAGCTATTGGGGTTATGGCTACTCTCTTTTTCTGCTATTCCTGCATTCTTAGTTTTCCTTACCCTTTAGAAACCAGTTTTATAATTGGCTTCAATAAAATCTTTAAGTAAAAAGATTATTTATTTGACAGAAAGAGAGAAACAGAGCAGGAACACAAGCAGGGGGAGTGGGAGAGGGAGAAGCAGGCTTCCCAGAGCAGGGAGCCCAATGCAGGGCTCGAGCCCAGGACCCTGGGATCATGACCTGAGCTGAAGGCAGACACTTGATGACCGAGCCATCCAGGAGCCTCAAGATTCCATAAAATCTTTAAAAAAAATTAAAAATTAAAAAAAAAAGGGAGGGTGGCACCTGGATGGCTCAGTTGGTTAAGAAGCCAATTCCCTGTTATATTAAATTTTCCTTGTTAAATCTGCTGTGTAGTTTCATTCCCTTGCCTGGACCCTGAATGAAAGAATTATGATAATAGTATTATAGTTATGATGAAAACAACCAAAAAAAAGGGGCTACACTTTTAGAGATACATGCTGAAAAGCATATGGGTGAAATATTTTAATGTCTGAAATTTTCTTCACTAATAGAGCAGCTGGTGAGGAGATAATATGATTGTCCAGTATTGATAAATTTGAATCTGGGTGACTAGAATACAGAAGTTTATTACAATACTCTGTATATCTGTATATTTGCCAAATCTTCACAGAACAAGTTTTTTAAAAACTCTGAACATCCTGATGTTAGGGCACAGTAACTAAACAACATTCCAACCAACCGGGAGGCAGTTTGTGTTAAGAAAAATTAGACTTCTGCCCATTCCTCAACACCTCCAAGAAAGAGGTCACTGTTGAGACACCTCTTAGCCCTCTCAAGATGGTCAGATTTAATTTAACCTTAGTAAAACTCTCCATGCCTCAGTTTCCTCCTGGATGAAATGAAGATAATGAAAGGACTTACCTCATTAGAATTGTGAGGACTGCAGGCAACTACATTTTTAACAGTCAAAAATCTACTGAATTGTAAGAAACACCCTCATTTTATGTACCACTAAGGGAAAAAATGCTATCAATTAAACTGTGGCACAATGTCTTCACTGTAATCCTGGATGACAAATGGATTAGTCACACCAGCCTCTTGTTTTGAAATTTTCTAGCTCTTCTGAGGGATTTGGCAATTTCTCTTGCCTTCTGCGGCATTGCTTGACACGTGATAAACAGTTCTTTTGCTTATAGTTTGGTGACAAATGGACAGCTCTCCTACTTCGAGGCATATTCCTTTCTTAGGACCCATAAAAATTTGACTGTTAACTTTGAAAGAAAATATGGAATTACAGTCATATAGCCTCAAGAAGTATTTATTTGGCCAATATCAGATTTATGTTCACTGCTTTGTTTTTATGCCTTTCTGGGTACAGTCAATTTCTGTCTCAAATCAAACCAAAAGGGTAATATTTCTGAAGAGATTTTAAAAAGGCAATTAAACTCAACATGGGTGGTACCAAACGGATACAGCTCCACTGAGTGATGGCCACGACCGAGTTCACATGTGTAATTCACAACCGACAGTGATCCCTATAACTGTGACCTGCTATTGATTAAAGATATAGCCCACTGAGAAAAAAATGTGTTGTAGAATTGATGAAACACGCATTTCAAGCAAAGTTAGTTCACTGTTTGGCATATAATAACCAATTCATACATGTTGGTCCTATTCCAAACACATCTTGTAAAGACAGTGTTTTTCCTCTCAAATTGCTCTGTCCTATATAGTAGCTACTTGTCACATGTGACTATAAATATTTAAAAGGAGGGGTGCCTGGGTGGCTCAGATGGTTGTATGTCTATCTTCGGCTCAGGTCGTGATCTCCAGGTCATTGGATGGAGTCCCACGTTGGGCTCCCAGCTCAGTGGGGAGTCTGCTTCTCCCTCTCCCTCAGCCTCTCCCCCTGCTTGTGCTCTCTCTCAAATAAATCTTTAAAAAAAACATTTAAAATGAAATTAAATAAAATAAAAGTTCAGTTCATTAGCTGCCCTAGCTGCATTTTAAATGCTCAACAGTCATATGTAATTAGTAGCTACCTACGGGCCAGAACAGATTAGAACATTCTCATCATCACACAAAGTTCTATTGAACAACGGTTTTCTAGGAAATTCTATCAATTATAACATCAAATTATATGCCATAATATCTTTATTTAAAGTTTTGAATCTTGCTTAAATTGGGGTCAAGATGACATAGAGGGAAAAGGAAATGCTACCTCATTTATTCATCAGGATGGGTCTAGAATAAAGGATAAAGATAAAATTAGCCTTGCTGACTAGCAAATAGATTACTGTCAATTTGCAAAATTTCCTATAACAGGTGAGTGGTTAAACAAGCTGTGATAGATCCATAGCCAGGAGTACCACTTGGCGTAAAAAGGACACAACAACTCAGATGGAAACAAGAGTGTTACACTGAGTGAAAAAAAGCTAATTTCAAATGTCATACACAATCTGGTTCCATTTGTATGACATTCCCAAAAGATTATTATAGAGATGGAGAATAAAGAGAAATTAGTAATTTCCAGGGATTAGGAATCTTGGAGGGGAGGACGGTGGGTGTTTAAAGGGAAAACCTGAGGGAGACCTGTGTGGTGATAAGTCAGTTCTGTATCTTGATTCTAGTGGAGTTACACAAATCACACATGAAAAAATGGCGTAGAACTATAGGCACTCAGGAACCGGCATCACTCACCTGCTTTTAATATTGTAGTGTTGTTACATAAGATGTAACCACTAAGAAAAACCAGGTGAAGGAGAACATTTGCAACTTCCTGTACATCTGTAATTATTTGTAACTTCCTGTTAATCTATAATATTTATATTAAAAGAAATTTAAAAGAACTTAAAAGAAATTGTTTTGAAAGAAAAAGCTAAAACAACAACAACAACAACAAAAAAAAACCAAACCAAAAACCAAGACTAAAGAAATCCCTGGAGGTAGAAGCCCAGTTTTGTGCATGGGTGCCAGGTTGGGGGGGTGGGCACCAGGTTACGCTGGATTATCCGGATCAGCCCCAAATTGAGTCACAAGGATTCTAATATTAGGCACACGGGGCGGATTTGACAGGAGAAGACAGAAGGGCAACAGGATCCTGGAGGCAGAGATGCAGCCACAAGGGAAGGATCACCTGGACTCCCCAGAAGCTAGAGCAAGCAAGGAAAAGACTCTCCTACAGCCTTCAGAGGAAGCGCTGTCCTGTCAGCACCTCAGCCGGGACTTCTGGCCTCCAGAACTGAGAAAGAACAGGTCGAGGCTGTGGTAAGCCACGCAGAGGGTGGGAATTTGCTCCGGTGGCCCTGGGAGTCTAACACCACTAGAGGGAGCAGGCTCTGCAGTTGGGCCTGTGGGTTGGCCTCTCCCCACCCAGCTGGGGGCAGATGAGGCAAAAGGAAAACCCAGGGAACTCACCACCCGTCACTGCTCGGGTCCAAGTTCTCCAGCCGGTCTTTGGCCTTCTACCTTTCAGCGACTACTTGTACTTGTGTAGATAACGCGGAAGGATTTTAGTTATACTCAAAGGGAGGACTGGGGAAGGTACACCTACTTCATGTTTTTGGGAGTCCTACCTCGAGTTTTCACCCAATTAGCATATTCCATTTACACTGGTCTTTTTAAACCATTCTGTTGGCGATGTCATTTTCTTGTTCAGAATTCTTCAGTGACTCCTGAGTGCCCATAAAATAAGCCCATAAACCCTTAGCCCAACATTCATTCCCTCCCCAGTCTGGCCCCATCCCAGCCTGTCTTTGTGGTCTGACTTCCTACTATGCTCCTCACCGGTGTTTCCAAAATCATGCTGTCTCCAATTCCAGCTCTCCGGGATGTTAAGAAATGTGACACTCACATGGGGCGGGAAGGAGAAAGGCTCTATTGTCCGATGTGTTCCGTGAACAGATCGACAGGGTTAAGGCAGTTTATAACCACAGGACTCTCAAGAACTTTAATATGCCAGTGTACAGCGTGACTCTCCAAGAGACAAGTAAAGCCTGAAGGGTTTCCCAAACTTCCTTGACCATGAAACCCTTGCACTGCTTCCATGGAAGCCAGTTTGTGAAACTCCTCTATTCCAACTTCTTTCTCCGACCAAACTCGCCTATTTGTGATCATCCGGACTCGTTTTGCTTTCCTGCTCTGATGCACAGAAGTCTGGTGAAATGTCGAAGAAGCCGTGCTAAGTGCAGCCCCGCACCACATGACCCACGTGCTACTCGGTTTTATGACATTTTGCGTTAAGTTGGTTTTTGAGTTCCCAAGTCCTAACCATAAATATTGTAAAAATAGATTGTGGAGCCCGGTGCAAATGTTTGAGTTCTGTTACAAAATATAGAAACTATTTTTTAAATAAGTCAATTTAATAATACTGCTAGATGACAGAAGCAGGAGCTCCCCTGGCCCAACGCCGCCCCACGCAGCTGCGTCTGAGCAAGGGCAGGAGTGGGCACAGTGTCGGCAGATGTGGGGTTGACAGGTCCCCTCTTCTTCTTTCCTTCTTCCCCACGATGACTCACCCCCAGGTGGTCTCAGGGACCCGAGGGAAGGAAGCTGCTCGTCTGCGCTGCTCCTCTGCACTGGCTCTCGCGAGCCACCCTGTGGTGGAAAGGATGGTGGCCGGGGAGAGCTAGCGTGTACCTAGGAGGGAGCACGACCACTAAAGTTGTTGGGGAAAGGGACGTTTTAGCAGCAGTGAAATGAAAAGAAGAAGAGAAAGAATGGGGCCAGGCAAGTCTACCGTTTAAGTCTGGCTGGTTCCGAATCCAGATGAAACACTAGCTGTGAGGACAGGTGGATCAGGGCCTCTGGAGATCGGGAGGGGTCAGGAGAGGACAGGCTAACAAGTGTCATTCATACTTTGTCCTGAAAGAGTCCCATTAGACATTTGTCCAGCGGTTTGTGGGGCAAGTACCTCACGCACATTTCCAGAGCAGGGGAAGCAGCTCATGCCTGGCCTCAGTGTTTGCTGAGCCTCTGTGAGGGAGGACTTTCCAGTGTGCAGACGACGTTGCTGGTAGTGCCCATGGAGGGCCACACCCCTGGCCCGCGGTGAATGTCATAATTCCCAGGGAAAGTGAGAGGATCCTTTGTCTGGGTGCCGACGACTTCTGGGACGTCGTTAGAGCAGGGGGCCAGCATGGGAGAACCTCAGGCCAGGCAGCCCCATCAGGTGGTCAAGGCCACCCACACAGTCAAGAGGCCTGTTCCAAGCTGTTCTGTTCTTCTTCCTCTGTCTGTAGCCAGCTCCAGTCTAGAGACTGAAAGTCAACAGGCACGTTAAAAATACAGGGCCACCACTACACCCCGGGTTGTTTGTCTTCCTCGGGACAGCACAATTTAAACCAGCACAATTTACAGGGAAATTTCAATCCTCTCATTAATAGTAATTTTCTTATTAACGGCTACTCTTGGGCTAAACCTACGTTTTCAAAACCATACAGGAACTTTCCCTTGGCCTAGTGAGAAGTCCCTCAGATGCTGGGACCACGGAAACTAGACGGGGAGTTTCAGTATTACCGGAGGCTCACAGCACTCACTTAGGCTCGCTGTGGGTAGGCGGTTCTGAGAGCTACCTCAGCCACCCATTTCCAACCCTACCAGATGAAACGGCCGGATGAGACTTCCTTTTCCTCTGGCAGAAGTGCCCCTCGGCCGTGAAATGCTCAAAATATGCCCTGTCAGGAGGAGGACACACAGCGACGCAGAACAGAGAAAGCCCCTCACCGGAGATAGACACTCGATTAAGTAAGAGGTGATTACAATCACCAGTGGTGTCCCGTCTGATTCCTCTGACAACTGAGAAGTCAGGGGGAAGCTAACAGGTCACAGTCTTGGCAGGAAAGGGCCTTTCAAAAGCTGAGGAATGACTTTGGGTTCTCTCAGCAACGTAAGCTTTGCCTTAAAATGTACCTGTGTCTTGACTCACTTTTTGTCCGGTTGGCTTCCCTGTAACTAGTACTACCTACCACTAAGCCCCCTGAGAGGGGGTGCTGTGACAGGGTCTGGCCCTGTCCCCCGAGTTTTGCACAGTACTCCCCACACACAGACGCTCAGCAGGGAGAGAAAGACCTTCTCAGAATGACGTCACCTCCCTTATAAAAACGGAGTGTTGCGAGGGTTAAATGAAATACTGCACACCAAGTGCCTGTCCCCCTTCAGTAATTGTTAGCATTGCTGTGAGTAATAACATGTACTGCGAAATCGTTAAGCGTAGACTGAGATAGAGGACATGCTGGATTGCCTTTCCGTTTTCTTTTTCTGGTTTGCCGGGGAAAAGACGGACACGGAATAGCGAGGATTTACGTAGCCCGTTACCCTCAAACTCTGGTCCTGTTCTTTGATGGTGTCTTGCATTGCATGTTCTAGCTGCGAACACAGGGTGTGTGCTTCAGTCACCAGCTCTCCACTGGAGAAAAGGATCACAGTATTAGAAAATGCTCGACGTGGTTTTTCAGAGATAACACTCTTGTTTAGAAAAGAGGCTACAGAGCTTTGGACAAGATTTTAAAAATTAAATTCCAATTATTTTGACGCCGAGGGTCTTCAAGTGCCAGGTCCTGACAAGTAATCTCACTGACCTTGCTAAGCACTTTTCAGAAGCCCACACCCAGCCATAAGTCAGCATTACCGTTCACAGTGGGAAAAAGAAAATCTCTTTTTAATTTAGAAGTTAGAAGTCAGTGAGCACGCTCTGACTTAACTAGATAGTTGAATTTAATTCTCTCCAAACTGCCAAAATCTGAAGATATAACACAAATCACCTGTTTTCCAATTTTTGAAATAGAAAAAAAAAAAATTATGTAGACCAAGTAATTTCACAATTTCCACAGTTTCTAGAGATCTATGAAAAAGCAAGTCCTGGGAACTGATTGAATTTGATCCATTCTCTCTTTTCTAGGATTAGACATGCACCCGTCAGTTCAAGAACCTCGGTGGGGAGAGAGGGGAGAGTACAATAAGCCACTGTCCTGTTCCAACCTTGGCTCCATGACACATACAGACAACCTATGCTCCTGGAATGACTTCTCCAGAGCCTCCAGGATATCACAGGGGGACTATGCCCAGTGCAGGGAGACAGTGCCCTGGAACCGCTCACCTTGCAAAGCATGATGCTCTGCTGCAAGGAACACAGGCCATGTTTTTGCTCAGCCCCTTCCGTGTGGCTACTAACTAGGTAGAAGGCTCAGTGCCAGCTCCAGAGGGCAATGGAAGGGACACATGACCTGGTTACCATCCTTAAGCTCACCGCAGGGTGGGGAGAATTAAGAATCTAAGGCCACATGTGATTTAGTACCACAACACACAGGCTAGGAACTCCCCAAGCACAGGAACAGGACTTTTAAAACAGCTTTATTGAAATGTAATTTACATGCCATAAAGTTCACCCATTTAAGCTGTATTAATTCGATGGTTTTAGTATATTTACAGAATGACACAATCTTTACAATCTAGTTTTAAAACATTTTTATCATCTAGAAGAAAGCCTTGTACCCATTATCAGCCCTTTCCCATCGCCCCCCCTCCACCTGCCCTAGGCAATCATTAATCTATTTTCCATGTCTGAAGACTGGGTCCCGGGAATGATTTTAACCATTGCCAGTGCCTAAGGCCTGACATGTAGTAGAAGGCGTTGAGGAAACTGCAGGGGGCTGAATTAGAAACAAAAACCCACACAGGCAGTCCAAGAAGAGAGAGCTCTCTGCGTGTGAAATGGTCAGGGCACTGGAGGAGGGGGAACCAGATTGGACAGCAGATATGTCCTGCAGATGGGAGGACCACCCAGGGCAGGAAGTTGGCCAGAGGTTCTGGAACCTCAGCGAGCATCAGCAACGAGCTCAGGCTTCTGAAAAGCTGCCTGCTGGGCCCACCTCTGAGCTGCTGACTCAGCATCTGCATCTAACAAGTGTCCAGATGTGGCTGCTGCTGCTGGTCTGGATCAGACTTCCAGAACCATCGGACTAGGCCAAGAGTTTGTATGGGAACAGCAGATCAGCCTGGAGAGTGGCTCCAAGGTGGCTGTTTAAGTCTGAAAAAGCTCAGCTTGGATCCTCTAGGGGAGTGGGAAGCTGCTAATAGTTACCAGCCAAAAAAACAACTTGATCCAATGGCATTCTGTGAAGATTCACTCGAACAGAAAGGGCTTGGAGGTGGTACTCAACAGGAAGCAGGGAGGGGAAACATTCTGTTCACCACCTCGTGGCTATGGCCCAGGAGAATGGAGAGGAAAGCAAGGGAGGAGTGGGGGTTGAGGACAGGCAGGAGGAGGCAAACTGTAGCTTGGTAACTCAGAGTGGTGGGAGGTGAAGGAGGAGGCAAGATGACAGTGGTGTGGCCACCAGAGCATGCCCTGTGGGGAATACAGTTTTGAACAACAGATGATGGCTGACATGACTAGCACTTTCCATATCCTCATTAAGGAATTAGAAATCCAGTCCTCAGACAAGAAAAGTACTTAGCTAGCAAATTACATGGGACAGGGAGAGTAAAATACATCTGCCTGGCATATGAACCAACACAAAGAAAAACATGCACGAAATCATTAGACAGATGAAATGATCTCTCAATGATAAACAAGCATTTCCATGCCCTCCCGATACACCCGTGGCTATCACGCCTGGCATGGAAGAGTGACCCACCTTTTCTTGATGGCCTCGGGTAAGCTGTTGGGGGCAGCAGAAGGCTGAGACAGCAGCTGACCCGAGTGACTGAGGCGAGAAGCATTCATGCTGTCTGGGCTTCCACTGACAGGACCACGGACTTTGCTCTGAAGGACAAAATCAAAAGAAAATCAACAGAATTTTGGAGCAAATGATCACAACTTTGCATTCCCACCATGGGAATGTCTCATGAAACAACTGGTCACCAGACACTAGCTAGTCCTATAAATTATGACTCAACATCCCTTCTCATGACCACAGTTTGCATTTCGGCTTAGAAAATCTTTGTCTATAGGTGTACTTTTTAAAATGATTTTATTTATTTATTTGACAGAGAGAGAGAGAGTGCACACACGTGCAGAAGCAGAGGGAGAAGCAGACTCCCTGCTGAGCAGAGAGCCAGAATCCTGAGATTATGACCTGAGCCAAAGGCAGACACTATAGGTGTACTTTTTGATAAAAGATTCTAAATACAGGGAAATTTGAGTACCTGTATTCACAGGTTTAATTCATTAGTTTGACTGCTTAACGAACTCTAACAAAGAAATTAAGACAGGGTTTTGTTTTTCCAAGTAGAAGACTGAGACACACGAGAAGCTTGTAAGTGGCTTTCTGTGAGTCGCACCGTCTGTGGGACAGCCGAGAAGAAAAGCACAATGTTTTGACCCCCTCCGCCCCGGGGCGCACTGGCTGCTGCAGCCACTCCCCCTCAGTCAAGGTTAAACCAGCGGCTGGGGCTCTAGTTGCTTGCAGCCCGCAGATGTGACCTACTGTCAACCTTCCCAGCACCTCATGTCAAGCCTCCAGCCAAACACCCGGTCCAGTGGCCTCGCCATCTTCTCATGGACCTGGCTCCTGCCCTTGCTGCAGCCCATGTGACTTCAATCCCACTCAGCCCTGCGAGCTGGAGGACCAGCCCTGGTTCCACATCCTTCCTTCCAGCTGAATGTCAAGGTCCAGCTTTGACCTGTCAGTCAAGCACCCAGTTTCACCCTGCGGCTTGTCACCCATTGAGAGAACCAGCCATCTGCCTCCTCTGCTCTGCCTGGGCCTGAGAGTATGGCGGGAGGGCAGCCCTTCCACTGCCCTGTCCCTCGAAGCACAGGGGCTCCATGACTCCAGCCCCCACCCCCAGAGTGGCCCCTCCCTCTCGGAGGCTGAGGTCTGTCCAAGCCTCAAATCGGTTCTCTAGCTGCCACGAGGGATTTCTCTAGAGCCCAAATGTGATCATACCATTCCCATACTTAACCTCCTGCAGCACAAAAGATGAAGACAAATTCTGGGGTGTTTTCTATGCCTTCAGAACAAAGTGTGGCCTGCATATGCGCGGCCCTTGCCTGCCTCCCCATTTCGTTCCACACGACACCCTGCCCCCCACACCTGAACACTCTGCGTGTAGCACCCAGAACACAGCCACTCTTTCAGGCCAACGTCCTGGGCCTCGGAGAGAGCCAAGTCTTCGCTCTGGAAGGTCCTCACCACCTACCCACCTAACTCCTACTCATTCTTCAGCCGAAGCAACACATCCTTGTGGATGTTCCCTGTGCCTCCCTCCCTTTCAAGAGGCTCTTTTCGTTCATGCTACAGCCCAGCTTACAGCACTCGAGCTGCTGAACAATACTTACTGCCCCCAAATTCAAATTCACTTCCCTGTGCATGTCCCTCACCAAATTATGAGCTGCTGGGTCAGGGCCCATGCTTCTTTCCTCCTTTACCTATCTTCATCACATTCCTAGGCTCCTGCGCACATGGTCAGGGCTCAGTAAACGTCACATGAATGCAGATGGCAGATCAGGCCATCCCCGGGAGTACCTCAACTTCCCTCTCCTTCCTCAACTTGTCTCCTTGTCATCTTTCCTTTTTTCTTTTCTTCCTTTCTTACAGGAGGAAACATCACCCACACTTTCTCAAGGCCAAGGCAGCCATGCACACTCATCTCGCTGATACCCCGTTGTTCTCACGACTTGCAGACTCCACTGTCTCCTGCCCCTTTAACACTGTGACTGTCCCGGTGCACTGTCCCCTTCTGCTTGGCCTACAGATCCAGCCCATGATCTTAGAAACACCACCCTTGCATCCTGCTTCTACCTGAAGCAACTATCGTCCCATTCTCCCCTTTGCTCTGTCAAACAGTGTCAGTGACTAAACTGGTCTTCGTCCCAGGCAACCTCTCTGCAGCCTGCACGGCGCAGGTCTCTCTCCCATCAGCTCTGGTTTCCGTGGCCTTTACCTGGCTCTTCTCCTTCTCTGTCTTAGGCTCTTTTTTGTGTCCCATTTTCTCTCTGAGCAACATGCAGCGCAATCTCAGCTACAGCAACAGTGGCAGTTGGGGGAGGGTGCCTGGGTGGCTCAGATGGTTAAGTGTCCACCTTCGGCTCAGGTCATGATCTCCAGGTACTGGGATTGAGCCCCATATCGGGCTCCCAGCCAGCGAGGCATCTACTTATCCCTCTGCCTGCTTCTCCCCCTGCTTGTGCTCGCTGTCTCCCTCCCTCTCAAATGAATAAATAAAATGGACAGTAAGTCAGCGGGCACAGGAAGTACGAGGGACAGTACTGAGCAGCACAGACTTGGGTGAGGGTGACCAGTCCTGCAGACATGCCCTGTAGTGAGCTGCACGGAGGTCCCCCAAAGATCCGCCCATGTCCTAACTCCAGGAAGCTGGGAATATGACCTTAGTGGAAAAGGGGGTCTGCACAGATGAAGTCAAGGATCCTGAGAGGAGATCATCCTGGACTACTGAGAGGGGACCCAGATCCAATGGCATGGGTACTTATACGTGACACCCAGGAGACAGACACAGAGAGAAGGCCTTGTGCAGACACAGGCAGATACTGGAATGATGCGGCTGCGAGCCAAGGAACGCCTGGAGCCCCCAGAAGCTGGGAGAAGCAAGGAAGGATTCTCCCCTAGAGCTTGCAGAGGGAGCTCAGCCCCCCCCAACACCTTGGTTCCAGAACCGCAAGGGAGTGACTCTGGCGACACCTGACTACAGTGGCCTCAGGAAACACATGCAGTCGGAAGTTAGAACACCTGGCCTGGCCTGACCCCACCCCTCCCTGACCTCTCCCAGCCAGAGGAAGGCGGTGAGAGAGGAGCGGCGGCAGCAGAGGGCTTGGCTATTGGCTCTGTGGTCCCCCTTGGAGGGTGGTGACAGCAGCAGAGGTGGAAAGGGCCCAAGAGGCAGGGGTTACTGAGGGCTAAGGGCTGGGCCGTGGGGCTCACGCACACAAGCGATCTTCAGAAGATTCCAGAGCTCCTTCTGCCGCTTCTCCTGAAGCCGGACAACAGTCTTCTCATCTTCATTCATTAAACTCACCACCTCTTCCACCTGGGGCAACAATTCCAGAGCCTTCTGCTTGCATACCACAGTTTTACTGTAAAGAACAAATGTGACAAGCTCCAATGGCATTGGGGCTGGAGAAAGCAGGAGAACATAATCCTTAGGAATTATGAATCCAACAACAGCTGTGGGTAAATTTTCTGCAGGTTAAGTGAGTCAGAGGGGAGTGAGAAGATGACCCCACGGGCAGCCTCACTGCTCTTCCAAATTCCACCCTTCGGAAGGGAAGTTGGAGCGAATACCTGAGCTGCGTATAAATCACTCTCACTTTCTTCTCAAAGCCTTGGATGGCCTGGAGGAGCAGCCGGACCATCTCCTGACTGTCGCCATCCGTTCGCTGGTCTGGAAAGAGGGAAGGAGTCCACAGTTCCTCAAGGGGGCCGGCAGAGAGCACCTACATCGTGCGCTGACAAAACAAGGCCCCACATACCTCTGGGTTTCTCCCGAAGCCTCCTGTAAAGCTCCCTTGCCTGCTCTTCTCTGAAACATATAAAGGAGAAGCTCTGTCAAGATGCAAGGTCAGGGGCGCCTGGGTGGCTCAGTGGGTTAAAGCCTCTGCCTTCGGATCCGGTCATGATCTCAGGGTCCTGGGATCGAGCCCCGCATCGGGCTCTCTGCTTGGCGGGGAGCCTGCTTCTTCCCTCTCTCTCTGCCTGCCTCTCTGCCTACTTGTGATCTCTCTATCAAATAAATAAATAAAATATTAAAAAAAAAAGATGCAAGGTCAAATAAGCACATTTGAAACACTGCTTAGGGGGGCTGCCTGGGTGGCTCAGTCGTTAAGCGTCTGGCTTCAGCTCAAGTCATGATCCTGGGGTCCTGGGATCAAGCCCTGCATTGGGCTCCCTGCTCAGTGGGATGCCTGCTTCTCCCCCTCCCGCTCCCCCTGCTTGTGTTCTCTCTTTCACTATAGCTCTCTGTGTCAAATAAATAAATAAAATCTAAATAAAAATAACAAAAAACCCAAACCATTGGTTAGCTAATTTCTGCCAGAACAGTTACTGACTTTTAGAAACAAGACTGACATTGTCTTGACTGGAGAAAATTATCACCCCTGGAGATGGCACAGGTGATGCCTCCAACAAGGAAATAATGGCCCCGTCACCAAACCCGAACCATCGCTAAGGTTTAATGAGAGAGAGTCTCAAGGAAGCGAGTTTCTACTCTGTCCTTTGGAATTTCCTGTCCATATGGCTTCTGCAATAATGACCCCAGTACCATCACTGGGCTGGGTCTAAGCCCAGAGAATATGGGCGCCTCCTTGAAAACTCAAGCCCAAAGGCAACACAAACTTCTATCCCTTTCCAGCTTCAACACTGAAACTGGCTGATATTTTCAGCAGTGACTTTCATTTGAAAACTAAAGGAGAATAAAGGGTTAAATGATTGGCGAAAAGACAGACTCCGAATCACCAGATTTCTGATATTTGAGCTTCTGAGCCTGAGAACCCTAGTAAAGGCATCGGAGGGACCCGGCTGAGCCCAAGCCAGAGCTCCTGTGAGTCTGAGGCCGCTCGCCTGCTTCCCTTCCCACCTGCAGCCTGGGAGCTCCCCGTGATTCCCTTCGGAGTCAAGGCCAAATTCCTGATAAAGATACAAATGAACGGTTTCTGGGTTCAAACTCTTAAGACCGGCCAGGCTCCTTCTCTGTTCTACTTTCTGGTCTCTGAACCATGCCTGGATCAGTGGGGGCCGCACGGACAATGACTTCAGTTAGCGTGGCGAATGCAGCCTCTGTCACAGCCTTTACAGTTTCTGAACGCCTGCTCTATCAGAGTCGTGTGATGTGACCTTCACGGCTCTGTGAGGTCAGACAGTTCTGCTCGCCACTCGAGAAATGCGTAAATGAAGGCTGCGGTGACAGTGGTTTGACTGCGCCCATCTCCGGAACTCTCCATGTGCCCATCTCTGGAACATGCCATGACGACGCTTCGCCAGAGGCTCATGGGCCCCACGGAACAGTGTCGCAGAGTTGCCTGGGTAACCGCACCCGCACCCCTGGCTGTTGGCAACACCCATGCAGAAGCCTGTCTGGGGTGCCTGCGGGTGGGCCCGCCGCCCAGGGCTACTCACAGGTCGTCCAGCGTGCCGCCCTGCTTCCGCCCCATGGGGCTTCTCTGCAGGTCCACGATGTCGGTCTGGAGCGCCATCATCCGCTCCACCAGGAGCCTCACCTCGTTCTCCTAAGGAAAAAGCTGTGCTAATGTCAACTGAAGTAATAAGGGCCTTCTGAGGCACGCGATTTCGGGGGCAACACCCTCCAGATGCACTGAAGAGTCTCGACTGGCTGGCTCGAAGGGATGCAGCTTTGGAGTCCGATGGCCGGGGTTCTGAGCGTGCGACCCTTACTTTCTAGCTGTGTGACCCAGGCTGGAGTCTCCTCCCTCCGCCACGCAACAGGCTTCTAAGGGGCCACTGCGGGGTTAGGTAAGATACGGCAGGTAAAGCACCCGGCAGCAGGCCTGGCACAGAGAAGATGCCCGAAGCACATTCCTTTCTCTTCCCTTCGTTTGTCCATCCTCTATGGGGAGGCCCAGGCTCCTGTTGCAGAGCTTAAGGCGAGTGTGAGCCAGGGTGGGACACAGCACTCACTGTCACTGGGGCAGGGGTGGTTATCTACGTCATACCCACCTGGAAGCACACATGCCCGTACGGATTCATGGAAACTGTTGTTAGGACACAGAGGTGAAGGTCCCTTCCCAAGTTCACAGCAGAAAATGGAGAAAGGTCCAGAAAAGGCCTTGGAGCCTTCAGTCTTCCATTTGTGTGGGGTTTACCAAAGCTAAACTTACCTCCCTTACCTCACAATTAACGTTTTTCAGTGGTATTGGATTTATGTTGTCCTACGACTTTATGCTTGGGCTTTTTGTCCAAGTCGATTTTTGTCCTATCGATTTAGTGTCTCAACAAAACTAGGCAAAACCCCTGGTGGGATGGAGTGTCGAACATTCATCCGAGGCCCTTTCTAAGAGGAAGGGGTCTGGGCTGCCTGCAAGGACGCTGCCCATTTTCCCTTACTCAAGGCTGCGCCAGGTCTGGGTGGTTCCTTCATCTGCCCTCGTAGGGCCCGCTTTACTGGCTACCACCCTAGCCTCTTTCTAGCAAGGCCCAGGCAAGGTCAGAGAGCACGACGAGGACAACCGGATTTCGGACTCACGAACTGATCCAGTGTTCGAGGAGAGAGTGAGAAAAGGCAGTGAGAAGCCTTAGCCCCCCTCTCAGTAAGGACAGGAATCTAGAAGCAGGAGTCTCCTACCCGCCCACAGAGCTCCACAGCCTGTTCCATTTCCCTCCAGGCCAGCAGCAGCTTATCTGACGCTGGGGAAAAAAAAAAAAATAGGGAAAAAAAAAAAGAAAAACAAAATGAAAACACCACAAAACCAAAATAGAAATAAACAACTCAATTATAAGAGGCAAAAGAAACCTCAGGAAGAAAAAAAAAAAAAAAAAAAAAAAAGACAGGAATGGTCTCTCCAAGCGGAATGCAGAGAGTTTACTCACTGATCCCAAACTCCGTTTGCTCACTGTACTTCTCCAGGTCAATCTGGATGCTGGTTTTAAAGAAGTCCAACTTGGCTTTGAGCTGCTGAGACATGGAAGCCATAGAATTCTTCATCTTGGAGAGGCAGCTGTTATTCCGAAGGAGATTCATCCTGCAGGGACCACAAGAAACAGAACCTTCTGGCATCCTTGGGATCCAAACAGCTTTTCCTGGACAATACTGAAACCACCTCAAACGCCAAGGCAGGCCCCTACTGTAATTATTATTGTCATAACAAAAGCAGCCCCCTCTAATCATAAAGACGATCTCCTAGCCCTCAGCGAGCACGAGGTTCTGCACCAAAACTGGAATTCAGCCCAGTGCCATGCCAAGGGCAACAACCCGGAGAGGGAGTTGGGCAGTCCCTGGCATGAGTCAGGGGAGTTTTGCTGACCCAAATTCCAAGGAGCTTTTCCAGAGTCCAAATTCAGCCCCTAGTTCAGCCAGCCCGGCCCTCGGTACCCTCCTGCTCCATGTGCTGACCTCCCTCACCTCGTAATGTCTAAAAGGGCCTCCCCCTCAATCCTGCCCAGCCAACCACTTCCTGCCCGTCCAAACCAGTGTCTCCCTCTTGTCTCTCCTACCAGTGGCTTCTGGACCCCTGCCTCCGCCACCTCCCTGTGGCAAAAGCCACCAAGCAATTTAAAATAAGTCCCAAAACGCCTGGCACAGTACATGGCAGCTCGCTGTCCCTGCTGCAGCCGGTTACAGTCCTCCTTCAGGGTTTGGATGCTGTGCCAGACCTGGCCCCACACCTTCCTCAGCTGGAAGAAAGACAGGTTCCTCTTGGGCTCTTGAACTGGAACAGAGACATATGTGACTGTCAGAGAATAACGCCCTGAGGTTAACCATGTCCTGCCTCGCGACATCACTGGTGTTTTTACATTTTTTAGTGACTATGCAGGGCGCCTGGGCGGCTCAGTAGGTGAGGACCCCAGGTCCTGGGATCGAGCCCCAATTAGGTTCCCTGCTCCGAGGGGAGTCTGCTTCTCCCTCTCATTCTTCCTTTGTGTTCTCCTTCTCAAATAAATAAAGAAAATCCTTTAAGAAAAAAAAAAAAAGAAGAACTACTATGCTATTGCATAACTTTTTTGGGTGAGAAGTCTGGTTACTGTCACACTTATTTTTTTGTACCCCATTAATAGCACCAGCATGGACCAGTCAATAAATACCTACAAGTATCGATTTGAAGAAACAGTTTGTGACCCATGTACAGACACTCACATGTATATAAGCTTGTATGCTTTTAATAAACCTTTATGTTTATAACATTTAAGGTCATATGAAGTTTTCTAAAAATTCAGCTTCAACCAGTAGTACTAGAACATGTTTAAATAGGCAGGAAGTCTGGAACGAAGACTTTGGACTCCTGATCTGTTTATTCTAAATGTGTGTGTGTGAGTATGTGTGCGGTAGCAGGAATGGGGAACGCAACAGTATGTTCATCTAACACTCATACAATGGAATACCACACAAGCATTAGAAATTAGGGAGCTCAGGGCACCTGGTGGCTCCATTGCTTGAGCAGCCCACTGGGTCTTTCTTTCTTTTCTTTTTTTTTTTTTTAAGATTTTATTTATTTATCAGACAGAGATCACAAGTAGGCAAAAAGGCAGGCAGAGAGGAAGGGAAGCAGGCTCCTTGCTGAGCAGAGAGCCCGATGCGGGGCTCGATCCCAGGACCCTGAGATCATGACCTGAGCCAAAGGCAGAGGCTTTAACCCACTGAGCCACCCAGGTGCTCCAGCCCACTGGGTCTTGACTCAGGTCATGATCTCAGGGTCCTGGGACTGAGCCTTGCTTCGGGTTCTGAACTCAGTGGGCAGTCTGCTTGGGGATTCTCTCTCTCTCCGTCTCCCTCCACCCCTCCCCCTGCTCCCACGCACACATGCGCTCTCTCAAATGAATGAATAAATCTTTAGAAAAAAGTTTTATTAAAAAAAAATTAGGGAATGCTATATGAACCAAACGGGAAAATATCTCTAAAATATATTATTAAGTGAAAAAAGTAGGGGCAGAGCAGTATATGTCATATGCTACGGTTTGTTGGAGAAAAAAAGATATATATATGTGTGTGTATGTATGTGTGTGTGTGTGTGTGTGTGTATACACACACTTTATAAATGAGTAGTAAATGAGTAGAATACTCCTGGAAGATATACCCAAGAATCTGACAGAAGCAGTTTCCCTGGAAGAGACTGGGAATTGGGAAGAGAGGATGGCTTGTTTTTCACAGTTTATTCTTATCATACCTTTTGCTTTTTTTGTATCACATACATGTATTAATTATTAAAATATAAACAAAACTTCAAAGATCTGATTTGATCAAGTTCAGAGAGCTGCAGCGGTATTCTCTGTCCTGTGTTTAAAGTTCTACAGATCACGTTGAAGTTGAAGACTTTCTTTCCTCTCTTTTGGCTGGACTACTCATAAGCCCCAACTAAAGAAGGCTGCCCTGGGGACCAGGTAAGCTCATCTTCTTGGTGCGGACCCCTCCCCTGGTCCATTGTCTCTCCCTGTGATTATTTTTTTAAGAAAACAGTGATGTTCTTACGGATACAGCTGACACTTTCAGGTTGGGGCCGGGGGGAGATCTGAGTCTCATAGGCAATTTTACTGTTGTCAAAGAGAAAGACGAGATCCATGTCCAGCGTGCGGCCCTCATTCAGCTGCAAAGGAACGAGAACAAGATGAGATCTTGTGGATCCCACCCCTGCTTTTTCCAAGGAAAAACACAGGGATTTCAGAGCGTTTCCCGCTGTTCACCAATGGCATCATCTTTAGCCGGCAAGTACCGAGCACCCACGCAGCCTTTCTTAATGACGCCAGCCTGGGCTTCCCTTTCCTGTTCCTTTTACATTTATCCAAACATAAGCCTTATTTACAACTTACTACTTTCTGTCTATCCTCCATTGTCTTTACCCTGCACATAGATGTTCGCCATCTCCCTTCCTAGCCCATGCTTGTTTCTCCTACATTGGCTTTCCCAGATCCTTGGGGCAGGGACTGTGGCGTGCACAGCGGTGGCTGTCCGCACGGTTCTGCACACGAGAAGTACACTGGAAACAGCTTTGGCTGACACGGGGAACGACGCATTGCTTGGCAACAGAGGCAACAGAGAGGCGGCTGTGAGCGGTCTGGAAGTAACAAGTCAAGCATGGAGGGATTCAAGTCTCCCATTAGGCCACACAGGGGACTGGACGTTCCAACTGAAAACACAGGCAGGTGTGTACTCCGTGTGACAAAGCAGAGCTGAAATCCCAACAGCTGGGCGGCGCAGTGCGAGGAGCACAGGGCCTTCAGTGAGGAGCGGGGCTCACCTTGCCGTCTGAAATACACTGAGCGGCAGGCTTGTCAGGGATCAGCGCCAGCCCAGCCTCCTGCAGCAGCTCCTGGTCCTTCTCAGGGATTCCTGTGTCCTGCTGGATTCTGGCCTGCAAGCTCTGCAGACTCTCGTCCTCTGTCACTGGATAGGTGTGAATGATGCCTGTGACCATGTTCAAGATATGAACCAGCTGCAACACAACCCAAATGTTACTGGAAAAAACCCCATTGTTCCAGAGAGGCCCACCTATTTGCCTGGATCGTCTGCTGCTCCCAACATTTCCCACAAAGAGAGGGGCCGGGCTAGCGGGGGGAAGGGAGCCCCAGTGCCGAGCTTCATATGTTCTGGTCTTCAATACTCCTGTTTGTCCACAGCTACCACCTCACAGCCAAGGTCACCTGGCCGGGGGGCAGGCACTCTCGCGGGGCCTCCCTTCCCACTGCTTGGATGGCCTAGGACCTGCTCTTTAAGGCGCTCTTTTTTTCCCAAGCCCTGCCACTGCCCATGGGGGACCCAACCTGCTGCCTCGAGGCTGACCTGGCTCTGCACTCACCTTCAGGTTTAAGATGTCATCCAGGGCCTTGAAGCAGCCGTTGGGCCCATACACAGGATCAGTGCCCCTCTGTCGTGGGTGCCACATCAGCATCAGCTGCAGCCACTTCTCTAGTCGCTGTGCCAGGATGCTGCGGAGAACCAGAGCATGGTGTGAGAGGGGACGGCTCCCTCGCCCTTCTCAGGCGGCCTCCCGTACGTGCATTGCTATACACAGCTGCGGCAGCTGACATGGGATTACTGAAAATGAATTAACCTGAGGGAAAGCGAATATTTTCCAGCCAAACTGAGGATCTGGGTGCTCATCCCTTCTTGTCTGCTACAATATCCTCTGAAAACCAAGACTGCTCAACAGATGGGTCAACAGACTCATCTCCACTGGGCTGCGTGAGAATGATCTATCCATGAAGCTCTTTAAATATTGCAGGCATGTCCCACCTCCAGGCAAGCCCCACACACAAGCTAGATGCCATCCTGCCAGATTTGTTAATCTGCCACCCCCCACCCTACCACCGAAATAAACACTCATGGTCCCACGACAAAGGTCACGCTCCTTCCCAGACACAGGTCCACCTCGTGCAGGTGTTCTCAGCCTCCGGAGAGACCAACTCCCTACTCACGTGCCTTTGTTCCCCTCACTCCTTCCCCCTCAAACTTCGCTCCTCTTCATCTATCCATGTTCTGTACATCTTTCCATATCCTTCCAGAAAGTTCCAGTGCATCTAAAGTCATTCCACAGAGTTCTAGTCCACACGATACCTTGCTCCCCATTCACTAAATACTCAGGGTAATTGTTATCCATGCTACTCAGTTGTGCGTGACTGCCCTGCTCTTTCTTTTGTACTACTACCAAAGCTGATCTTACTATTTAAGTGTTCACATTCGGGCTCTAAGACTAGATTGTAATGCTGTTCAAACTACAAAGACTTGTTGACTGTGACACAGTACAAGGCTACATAAGAGTACAAAGAGAAGTCAAACATAATTCCCTACACCGAAAAGGCTTCCAGTTGACCAGTAGATAAACCCTATGCAAAACTAGATGTAATACACAAGGCAGAAGCCAGTATGGGTGGTAAGAGGTATAGATAAATTGTTATGTGAATTTAGGAAAGAGGATTTCTAGATAGGGTGAGGGGTGGGAATCCATTCTAAGTTGAAGACAGAGATGGTTATGTCAAGTCCTTAGTCATGGGAGGCTATCCTAATAACCTATTTAAAAGCTATTTGGTGCCATTGCAGATATTTATTTGCACAAGAGGATGAGAACTACGTAGAGAAGCACCACTGGGCCTTACCTGTTGAGATTATTGGGGTAGGGTAAGGAGCTTGAAAACTTCACGGCTCCGTTCAGGTCCTCACTGACAACGATGTCCATCTCACTCTTCTGCCGGACTTTGGAGTGCCTGCCAACGGGTCATCTCCTTAATTAGAGCCTCTAAGTCACTTAGCGGGCAAGACACACTTTACATCTGTAACAAATCCACTTTACAACGGTACGGGATACCCACAGGTCGCGATTTGTCTTTGGGTGACAGTCAGTGCCTCAGTATCCTGCTGGGGTGGATTCTTTCGGAGCCAGAGGCTAGTCTGGATGATCTTCGGGGGTGGCGGCAGCAACCATCCCGCCCCCAGAGCGCCACAGCCAGCACCGCCGACTCCTGACCTCACCCCTGGCACGTCTTCATCATTTCCCCTACTTTTCATTTTATCGCCGGCAAAATTCACGTTTTGACAGAGGATAAAATGAGAACTTCTGAACCAGGCTCACTGCACGCGGATCGCATAGATGGGAAATAGGCGGGATGCGTGCCCGCACAACGCACTTCCCTCTAAACGCAGGTGGCTCCACGCTACCTCCTGCGGGGAAGGAGCTTCTAAATTTCCCAACTTAGAGAACTCACAGATGTGTGGACGCATCCAAAATAGTATTTGAAGGGACAAAGTGTTAAACCCAACTAGTTTCAAAGCTTTTCGGTGATGAGGAAAAGAAAGTAAGTGTGAATTATGCTTCAAAGAGGACCAAGTACTTTGACACTGAACACGGACTCCTTTCCCACAATTACCCCATATGGGAGAGCCTGTTTCTCATCTCCCGTTCAATGGGAAGGAAACGGAGATCTGCAGGGTCACCCAAGTTCACACAACTACAGTGTGGCAGAAACAGGAGACTCGAACCTCCTATCTGCTGTTCTTTCTACTCTGTCTGAATGTCCCAGTCTTTCCTTTCCAAAAACACCTGGGAAATTCAAATCACAAATGTTTTAGTCCTGAGCGCTTCTCATCGGCAAGGGGTGAGCTGGCCCGGGGGGAGCACGCAGGAAAGGCGCCAGCGTGAGGCGGCAGCTGCTGTTCACAGCTCCGGCTGGAACTATGACTGTAAGGCAGAGGCACCAAGAGTGTCATGACGGACAAGTGAGACAGACGATCCTCTAACGGCAAACTTAGTCTGTCAGTGGGAAATTATAAACATAAAATAGTAAATAAGATGCTTGTTGCTTAGTTCCTGAAATGTATGTCAAAGTAGCATTACAAGAGAATTACGAAGCTCAGATTGCATCTGTCCCGAAATTACTATCCACCGGCCACCTGCGATGAGAGAGTGAAGTTTTTAAAAAGTCGTCTGAGGCATTACAAGGCAGATGGGACAGACTTTTCTCACAGACTAGTCCACTGAACAGCTCCTGGCTGGGGGTCCAAGAGGGCTACCTGAAAGTGTCACCTGGTCTTCAGCACTGGTGAGCGGAGTTCTAAGAAGCTGGTTCTGCAGACAATGCACTTACCATAAAGATGCTGAGATATTAGGGATAATGTTTTCAAATAGCACTTGTCCTTCCAGTTCAAATGGATTTTAACTCACCTTGTTAAAAATAATGGAAAAACTCAACATTTGAGGTGCAGAAATGCAGTAATTCTTTGGTTAGTTAAAAACACTACTGATGTACAGATATTTAATGTTATTTTCATGATGGTTACAGTATCAGGTGTGACTATAAATGAATGAGCTAATTCCTCAATATTCCAGAGCTTATGCAGGTCAACGAGTATTGTTTGTTTTAAAACCAATCACCACAGGAGGGCATACTTTGCCATTTCGCCAGACTCCTTAAGAGCAGGGACCCTGGCTGCAATCATCTTCCCACTGCCAGTGTTTGGCTTATATATGTTGACTAAAATGGACTGCCATCACAAAAACCACTTTTCTGGAATGGATCTCCAAGGCTACATCTTATAAATAAATAATTCATGATGCAAATACCTATCCTTTGAAAAAGTTAATGTTTTCATTACTTCCAGAAAGGTATATAGAAAAATGGTAATAGCCAGTGCTGGCAGTGGTGTGGTAAAAGAGGCAGCTTGGTATGTTCCTGGTGGAAACATTATTTATATAGCCTTTCTGTTGAGCATTCTGATACACATCAAAAACCTTTAAAATGTGCATAGTCTTTGACAGTTAATTCCATTTCTAGGAATTATCCTAGGGAAATAATTATGGATATATAAGTATTTCCACACAAGGACACTATCCTTGGTGTTCTTTTAAGAAATAAAAATTATAAAACACCCATGCTTCCAGTCACAGGGGGATAAGTTAAAAAAAATTCCAGTATAGCCACTCAGCTGAATGCCAAACAGACATTACAAATAACGGAAAAACATAAAGCATTTTCAATAGCCAGACTGAAAGGCAGGTTATATGAGGATGTTTGTAGTAATTTATTTGTGGGGTTTTTTTGTTTGTTTGTTTGTTTGTTTTAAGGTATAGCACACACACTGAAGGGCCTGGAGACTCACACAAACATTCATAGTGGTTGTTTCCAGATTGTGTGAAGGAAATTCTCATGGTGCAGAAATGCTTTGGGAGCACATCCAAGACAGTTCACATTACACTATCACTGATGGAAAAAAGGTGTGAAACCCATAAATGAACCAACAGACAAACAGAGGCCAATTTGCTTGTACCACCCCCAAAGTACACCAAAAACCAGTGCTATCAGGTGCCTGGGGAGGGGTTAAGGAAGCCAGGTGGCTGGGAGGCCGGTCAGAGAGGACTTTTCAGTGCATATTCTTTTATTACTTTTGGAAGCTCGAACCATGTGAACTTATTAACTACTTCAGAAGGACAAAAACTGGAAATCAAGACAAAATTTGGAAAAACAGTAACATTATTTAAATTAGCGTGTGGCCTCTCAAGGAACACTCTGAGTGAAACTTGATTCATGGGAATGTCAGTTTTTGAACTGTGCATTTTGGTAATGATGAGCCGTCACATATACCACAAACCCTCATTTTTGTAATAAAAAAAGGTAAAGATAGAATTTTTAAAAAACTTAATTGTCTCCTTTAGTTTTTTTATTAAAACATCTTTTTTTGGGTAACTTATTTATGTACATATTGGTTCCTATTTTAAGCCACTTTCTTGTGCTTTTGAAACAAAAATCTCTTTCATGGTACAGTAAAATGTGCCCATAATACATTTCTGCGTAAATATTTCTCATCTGTCATGTGTGCACGTCCTGTATTTGTTTACTAACACACAGCATCCTCAGTGGAAGTGCACCAATGTGTGCAACAGGCTGTGAACACGGCCATGCTGCTATTGCACACACACAGCAAACATTCATCTGGTGTTACATTTAAAGACGTTAAAAACTGCTCTATTTTTCTAGGACTTCAGAGCCTGGACCACCCGCATGCTGAGTCCTAATGGGACATCCTCTATGGGGGACAGATGACAGATGTCTCGGGCTGGGAGCACCCAGTGAGATGGGAACAGGTGAAGGGCATGACAAAGACGGAAGGACACACTCCCCCCTTCAGGGGGCACTCCTGGCCCCACCCTCAGGCCCCAGTCCCTCACTCACCACTGCACGGGCTGCCAGTTAGGGAGAAAAGGGCGGAAGCCGGTGATGCACTCGAAAGCCAAGGTACCGAAGCTCCAGTAGTCCACGGTCACCGTGTACTTCTGCTGCTCCAGGAGCTCTGGGGCCTATGGGAGAACAAGTGCTGGGGAAGCACTGAGGGGCTCCTGCTGCTAGGGGGCCTCTGCAGGAGGGGGCGACCGGTCCTTCTCATCACGTCCCCGTCTTCCCCCGACTCCATCCAGAGGACATGGCGTGTCCACTTGAGTGGGGAGGAGGTGACCACACGTATAGCTGGTGGTATCTACAAGTTCTCTGTACCTTATTCACTCCTGACGCCGATACGAGGGCTCCCAGGGGTATTTTTAGGTAGGCCAGAGCACAGCATACACCCTTTCCTTGGGTGCCATGTCCAGGTGGGAAGGTAGGTTACATACCACAGAGGAAAAGGATACCAGTCTAGGCACACCGAATGCATAACACACATGTTAAATGATGACTGCATCTCCTAAACCAATGTACCTCAGGACGTGTGGTCATGCAATGGGATGGGATATTTACAATTGGGCAGGAAAAAAGCCGGATGCAAAACCGCTGCCCAAGCAGAAAGAGCTGAAGGACCAAGCAAAGCTTTGAAGCACGGTGGGAATGGAACCTGCCTCAGAAGAAGGCTCCTCACATGAGGGTTTGGGAGGAGACATTTTAGGAAGGAGCATCACAAGCAAAGGCAGGGAGACTGGGCTATACACAGTCTAGCTAGACAGTGTCACTTATGGAAGGGCCAGAGAGTGCAAAGCATGAGGAAAAGTTGGGGGATGGGCAGATTAGTCTCTATATCTGGTTATGGACATAAGTTTTAGTTCCTGACGGTGAAGGATGTGACTGAGCATCCTGGTCAGAGCACGGGCTCTCCCACTTAACTGTTGCTGAGCCCATGAGGATTTCAGAGGATGCTCAGAAGGACCTACATAATTATGTCATATAGACATAGGACTTGAATCATAGCGCCCCATGGGTCACCACTGTGAAACCTCTATTCCATTGAGCAGGTCATAAAGCAAGGGAGCCCAGTCCCCTAGTTGGTGGGCTAAGCAGGAAGCAGAAATGAACTCAGACTTCAAAGAATCTTTCTCTTCTTTATTTAAGAACTAGATAAAATAGGGGTGCCTGGGTGGCTCAGTCGGCTGAGCAGCTGCCTTCAGCTCAGGTCATGATCCCAGGGTCCTGAGATCAGTCCCACATCAGGCCTCCTGCACAGTGGGGAGCCTGCTTCTCCCTCTCCCTCTGCCTGCCACTCCCCCGCTTGTGCTGTCTGACAAACAAAATCTTTAAAAAAAAGAAAAGAACTCGATAAAATATTTAAACTCATTTAGCCCAGTGGCTTTCAACCTTTTTTCACTTATTAAACTGCCGACCCTTTTTTCAATCAAAATTTTACTGGTTGTTACCATCCACAGGCAATCTATGGCCAAGTCTAACTGAGTCTCTTGCTAGGCATTTCTTGACTTATTTTCTACACCCTCACTGCTACCAGCGGCTCTGAGCTGCTTGTCACAACAGCCTCCTTACCTCCCCCATGATTTACTCTTGTTCAGTGCAATTCACCCTCCATGCTGCATCAAGGGTGGTCCCTTCAAAGGGTAACCCGGATCCTTCTCCAAATTAAAACCCTTCAGTGTCTTTCTGGCCCTCCACGGACTACATCCTTTGCTTCAATTTCCTCTCCCTTCCTACCTCTGGCCCCTTGCATCTACACATCCTTCAGGTCTCAGACGAGGTGAGGGCCTCCTAACACGTATTCTTATAACACCTTGCGCTTTCCCTCTGTAGCACTTGTCACAATTTTAACTTCTTAGTTCTCTGTGTAAGCGTGGGGTTAATGCCTGCTTTCTCGCTAAACTTTGAGCTTCTAAAGACCAGGGAAATGCTGGTCATCTTTCCCATTGCATCGCCAGCTCCCAGCGCAGTGCCTGGCAGATAGAATAGACCATACTCAGTCAGGACTTCCTGAATGAATGAGTGACTCACATAGAAGCCCAGTATTCAGACCAAGTAATGTAAAGAAGGGGTGGGGGTGTGGGGTCAGAGCTCAGCTCCTTCTTGCTGGCCCGAGACATGTCATAGAAACTGAGGCTTCTACAGACCAGCATGAATCTAGTCTAAACTCTTTATTTTCAGATAAAATACTGAAGCCTACGATGTTACAGGATGTGTGTGAGAGCACATGCTAAGCAACGCCCTTCTGACATCAGAGAAGATGACCCCCTCCTTCCACTGGGCCTCCACTGGCAAAAAGTGCCGACTTGAACAGAGTACGTCTCTGTCTTACGACAATTCCTAGACATCTGGACGCCTCAAGAGAGCCAGTAAGATTTAGATGCTACAAGGCAAGGACAGAGAGGAGCCATATGCAGACAGCCATCAGGGAACAGCTGAGAAGCAAACATGTAAACCCCATTTCTTACCAAGTACTGCAGGGTGCCCACAAAGGATGTACAAAGACTGCCCTGATCCAGTTCCTTGGCATATCCTAGGTCAATAATTTTGTGTATTAACTGAAAAAAAAAAAAAAAAAAAAAGGAAAAATCGGGAGGATTATGAGGATACCCTGTCCTCCTGTAAGAACTGATCGCTGACCAGAGCAGAGGATACTCTGAATTCCCAGGTTGTGTTAGAGCCTGAGTTCCTAAGAACCAGCCAATACACAAGAGACCACCTTCAACACGGCAGATAGAGGGCAAGAGGAAATGTACACGGTAAAACTGCTCCCAAAAGGCACATGTTCTCCTTTGCTCCGGAACTACTAACCAGAGGAAGGCCAAAATGAACGGACTCTGCATCAGCCCTCAAGATTGCTAAACCTGGCCTTGATGATGTGAAAGACATGCTCAGTGAATGCCCATAGTTCTCAAATCTTAGAACCACTGGCAAGAATGAGTGTGAACCGGAACTAGTGTGAGCACTAGGTCAGTCATGGGTCAGGCCCAGAATGCCGAAAGAAGCTCCCCCAGAAGAGACTAAGTGGCCCACAGGTTGGGTTACTACATCCCACTTGGCTGAGCCCTTGTTTGTCACCCCCAGCTAAAGGAACAAGGCTGCAAGAGGGCACGTGCCAAGCCCCATGGGGAGGTAACTGCCACACCCAAGCAGGAGGGCCCCTGTGGAGGGTCCCCAAGAGCTCTGGGGAGACTGCAGGCTGGGCCAAGCCCTATGGGCAGGTACCAGCTCCAAATGCCTCCCCTGCATCACAAGCAGAAACAGCTCAGAGCTGGTTTCCAGGTTAGCGTCAAAAGTTGCGCTCTCGAACACACAGAAAATGAAAAGTCGATTTCTCGGAGGGGCTGATCTCAAGGGGCAGAGGAGGGAAGAGAAACATTATTTTCCTTATCAGATTCCTGCAACTGGGGAAACTAACAATGTGACCCATTCAAACTTGCCTCCACTAGCCAGCAAGAGCTTTTTGCTGAATTCTGTTTCAAATCAAAAGTGTTCCCACAGAATCAAAGCGAATACAAAGTCAAGGAAATGCAAATATAAACAAAGACACAAAGGGTGTTCTTTCTCTAAGAGAGCAGCTCCCCTGAGGCAATCCCCAGGACTTCCCCTTTCCCGGAAGGTCACTCACTCTTTGCTCTCCTTGCTGCAGGACGATGTTTTCTGGCTTTAGATCCCGATGGATGATTCTGTTTTCATGAAGGTATCTAAGTGCAGAGGCTGAGAGGGTGGAAAGGGGAGTCAATTTTCATTAAGCCTAAAAAATGTGCTTCACTTCAAAATCGCCTATCCTGTGAAAGATTGTGCCCTGACACGCACTCGGAGGGAGGGACAGGGCCTGGGGCAGAAGCTCCCAGGGTGACACAAAAGGAGTCCTGGTTACTGGAGAATGTGGAGAACAAGAATCTGACTTTTTCACACAAAGTCACCAATGAGTCTAGAGCAGTGGTCCCCAACTGCATTGCCCAAACCAGCAGCGTCTGAGCTTGTGAGAAATGCAAAATTCTGGGATCCCACCCCAGACCTACTAAATCAGAAACGTTAGAGGTGTTTTAACAAGATCTCCAGGTGATGCTGATGAAGTCTGAGAAGGGGAACATCTCTGGCATAGAGGCTCAAAAGTCTAAATTCCACAGGGAGGGTAAAGGCGAAGGGCCCTCTGGGCAGAGACCACTCTGCTCATCGGATCTGAAGTCCACTGATGTCCGAGCCGGCTTTAAGGAAGAAGTGGAAGAAGAGACTATGTGCGCACTCCATGCACCCCACAGTTCAACATGGCTTTACTATGTGCTCAGTTCTCTGCTAGGCTCTGGGAGGTACATAAAATAAGAGGCATGATACCCAAGAACTCAGAATCCAGCTGGGAAGGAAGGAAGGAGCCTGCGCGACCCTGGCTGTGTGGAGATGTGAGCATGTTGTACGGGAAGGTCATGGCACACAGCACCGGCTCCTGCTGCAGCCGGGCTCCAAGCCCGATGTCATCTGCACCCATGAAAGAAGTTTAATAACTTCAACAAGGTCCTAGCTCATTGCACTACAAAAGACAAAAATGAGGAAATATGTGAAGGTGATAAAATTATCATTATTGGAGATGGTATGACTCCGTACTTAGAAACTCAGTAGAGGAGGGGCACGTGGGTGGCTCGGTCAGTTAAGTGTCTGCCTTTGGCTAAGGTCATGATCCCAGGATCCTAGGATCAATCCCAGAGTCAGGATCCCAGCTTAGCGGGGAGTCTGCTTCTCCCTCTGTGTTTGCCTCTGCTCACAGGCTCCCTCTCTGTATCTCTCTGTCTCAAATGAATAAATAAAATCTTTTCAAAAATCTTTTAAAATGTTTAAAAAATAAAGCAAAATAAAATGCCCTTTTTCACCTCTTCAGCCAGCAAGAATTTTAGATGAAAAATAAAGGGCATTTTCGTACATGGCTGGAAGGAGGAAAAATTGCTGGCCTTTTTGGGAAATACGGTAATATCTATTAAGTCTTAAAAATGTACATATTATTTGACCCATTATTTCTACCTCTAGTAACCTAGCTTATAAAGTCTAGTCATCTAGCTTATAAAAGCTCCATAACATACACATAAGGATGCTTATTGCATAGCTTGGAGTAAAATACTTAGAAATAAACTGGAAGTCATCAATTAGGAATTGCTGGACAAACGAAGACAGAGCCACGTTATAGCATGCACTGGTCTCAAAATCTTTTAAGTTTATAGAGAATATAACTCAGATATAGATAATTCGAGTCAGAAGGATGACAAAGATGGTGGTTTTTGGTTTGTTTTAAAAAAGGTAGTAAACAATGGGATGCCCGGATAGCTCAGTCAGTTATGCATCCAAACCTTGATTTCGGCGCAGGTAATGATCTCAGGGTCGTGAGATTGAGCCCTGTGTCGGGCTCCATGCTGGGGCTGGAGTCTGCTTGGGATTCTCTCTCTCCTCCTCCCCTTGCTCCTCCCTGCTTACACTTTCTCTCTTAAAAAAAAAATAATTAAAAAAGGTAATAAGAGAAGACAACACTAAGATGTTCAACGGTGAGGCTTCCTGTGCTGCCAATCCCCGCCACCTCTCTCTCTCTCACTCATCACACCAGACAGAATGTAGGCAAACCAGGGATGTGGGCATTTCCTGTCTTCTCTGCAGAGCGGGAGAAGGCCTTCCACAGAAACCAAATTGTCAAACACGCTGCATAAAGACTCATGTTGCAGGTTTCCTGAAAACACATCTCAAAGTCCAACCCAGATAAACAAGTGACTTCCATCTTACTAGGGGAGTTCCATTGCAAAATATTAAGTTAATTATGAAATGTCTAATTACAGCTGCCCTTTTAACCCAGGCTTTGACCACACAGTTGCAGTATTTCATACTTGTTCCCTATTTTTCTTTTCTTTCATAACTGAATACAGAGGACCAGCTTAGGTCCAATGAACGTCCGAATGAAGTGAAAGACACGTTGCACAACATTCCACTCTGTCTTGTTCCCAATTGTATTAACTTTTAAAGACGGATGCTTCTGGGGAGCGCCTGGGTGGCTCAGTCAGTTATGTATCCACCTTCGGCTCAGGTCATGATCTCAGGGTCCTGGGATGGAGCCCCACATCGGGCTCCCTGCTCAGTGGGGAATCTGCTTCTCCCTCTGTCTCCCCTCGCCCCCCTATTCTCTCTCTCAAATAGATAAATAAAATCTTAAAAAAAAAAAAAAAAGACTGATGCTTTTGACCAGCACTTTCATTTGTTTTACTAATTTTTTTCCTTAGAGAAAAAGAGAGTGCAGGGGTGCGGGGGAGCCTGCGGGGAGAAGGGGCAGAGGAAGAGAGAGAGACAGAATATTAAGCAGGCTATACTGAGCCTGGAGCCTGACTTGGGGCTCGATCTCACAACCCTAAGATCATGACATGAGCCCAAATCAAGAGTTGGACGCTTAACTGACTGAGCCACCCAGGTGCCCCTGCGTTTCCCTAATTCTTATTACAGGATCAAGACAAAGGATAGCCAAACATTTGAATAACTGTGCAAACAGAATAACTGTGCAAACACAACCTTTCTGGCAGGGACGGGGCAGCTGAAGCAGATCTCGTGGCTGGCCGCCAGCCCTACGTGCAGCAACTCCACAAGTGTGCATGCTGACGGACTCACAACAGGCCCATTTTGGAATCTGACCAGCGTGTCAAGGCATGGTCTCTAGATGTGTGGGCTGGTCTGCTCCAAAGCAGAATGTACGGAAGTTAAGAAGACTCACTGTGTTTTGAGCAAGTACACACACTCTGGCTAACGAAACTCCTCTGAAGTCAAATGTGCATGTCTCACTGTCTATACCGCAAGCCACAAGCTGGGGAGACGTCCCAAGGAGCCCCCAGTGATGAAGGAGAGCATTCAGATCGTCCTGCAAGCACCACTCCGTACACAGGCCTGATAGGGAATTGTCATCTGACTCTCAGTGCGGACGGACGCAAGCTGCTAAGTGAGCCACGTTAATAGCTGTCAATTTGCGTTTAAGCCACTGTGCCCAGCAAACTTTAACCCTCGTCTCAGGACATTTGTTCTCAAATACTTTTGTCAACTTGATATTGCGTCTGGAAATAGAGAATGCTTCAGGTATTATTACATGTAGTTTGCTGGAGTGAATGAGATAGTCAAAATTTCGATTGGCAACAACCGGAACAGCTCCCTTTACTGAAGCCGTCTATAAAAGGCACAGCCTGACTGTGTTACGTTTTACAAAACAGAACCTGAGGTGCAGTGTCACAAAATGAGTCCAAGTTGTCTTGAATTGGGAGAACCTAATATAATTGGATGGAAAATGAGAATCTGAGATGAAGAAAAATACTTTCGCATCTGAAAATCTGTTAAAACTCTAAACCCTTGGGGCACCTGGGTGGCTCAGTCAGTTGGGCTTCTGCCTTCGGCTCAGGTCATGGGATCGAGTCCCACGTCAGGCTCTCTGCTCAGGGGGGAGCCTGCTTCTCCCTCTCCCTGTGCTACTCCCCCTGCTGTGCTCTCTCGCTCTCTGTTGGATAAACAAAAAAATCTTTTTTTTTTTTAATCTAAAGCCTTAGTGATAGTGATAATACAGGTGTATAAAAATTGAAAACCACATCATAGAACATAAAGCCTAAAAGTTACTTTCTCACATTCTAATTCTAGAAAAGAGTTATAAGAAGCACTGACTCTGTGAATTTCTAAGCTACACAGTGACACTTCCTAGGATAGGCTGCAGAGAGGATCCAGGTTAAGGATTTGCCACAGGAGAACAACCTTCTTTGTTATCCTTGTCAGGAATGGCATCTGGGTAGTTACCCCAGCTTTCCCTTAGCATCTGCCTTCGGCTTGGGTCATAATCCTAAGGGTCCTGGGATGGAGCCTCATGTTAGGCTCCCTGCTTGGTGGAGAGTCTGCTTCTCCCTCTTCCTCTCACTGCTTGTGCCTTCTCTCTCAAATAAATAAAATCTTAAAAAAAAAAAAAAAAAAGGAATATTCTTGTTTGGGATACATTCCATAGAAAAGAAATGGAAGGATAAATGGACCCAAAAACAGAGAGAGAGATTAGATTAGAGGAAAAGATCTAAGTCACCAATGACTATAGAAGTACAACAGGATGTTCGTTCACTCAATAAAAATTGACTGTGTTAAAAAGGAAACAGGGGGCTCCTGGGTGGCTCAGTGGGTTAATCCTCTGCCTTTGGCTCGGGTTGTGATCTCGGGGTCCTGGGATCGAGCCCCGCATCGGGTTCTCTGCTTAGCAGAGAGCCTGCTTCCCCATCTCTCCCTGCCTCTCTGCCTACTTGTGATCTCTGTCTGTCAAATAAATAAATAAAATCTTTGAAATTAAAAAGAAAGAAAGAAAGAGGTCCAAAATGGTGCCCCTGGTACTAAGGCCACATCACCAACAGGGACTTAATGCCTAACCTAACTGGGCACTTGAATGGCTCAGTTAACTAAGCGCCTGCCTTCAGCTCAGGTCATGATCCTGGGGTCCTCGGATCGAGCCCTGCATAGGGCTCCTGGCTCAGCAGGGAGTCTGCTTCTCTTTCTGCCCCTCCCCCTGCCTGTTTTCTCTCTCTAAAATTAAAAAAAGAAAAGTAAGATCTTAAATTAAAAAAAAAAAAAAGACCTAACCTAACTGCATTTTCAGCCTATCTTAGAAATATAATCTTAACTAGTTAGTCTAGAACTATCCGGTCAGCACTAGTGAGGTAATCTGCCTGACAGACCCCTGCTAT